TACTTTACAGATGAGGTCATCTACTTTCCCTGGAGGTGTCATTATAACCAAAAGCACTACTCTACTCTCTTTTCACTCATGCGACTGTGTTTGGGATCAGGATGAGTTTTGGCTTGTAAGGTGAGGTAACGAGAACCGGTTAATACCTCACGACCAGCTCCCGATCGGCAATCGTAGGTCACAAGAATATCAAACCTGTGTGAAATCCAGGCGCCTCTCGTGAGGGTTTCGCACTGTTGAAGTAGTTCGTATAGTATAGTGTGACAACAAGAATTGTGAGCTGTGAACTTTTAAACCCTGTGATTAGGTTGTACAGTTTGAGCTGGGGCTGAGTGAAACAATCGAAAACATAGCACAGTGTATGTCCGGCATTACTCAAGTTAAAGGTTGTATAGAGGATTTTTTTAAGGGAAAAGAAATACAACGGCAATCCTTTTTCAAATGTTGTGCTTGTGTGAAACCACCTTCCTCCTCCACAGCTCCCTCAGTAGAAACACCTCCTTACTCTAGAAATCACACTTGTTTACATCCAGTGCGGTTTCAGAATTACTGTTGAAGTGATTCTAGAAGTAATTTACCGACAGACACGTCAGTTTTTAGACCCTTTTTCTGCTTCAGTCGCACCATCGCTGGAAGAGATCTCCAAGAATCACCTCAGTTTGGTTTCGCTCCTTTTCTCCTCCTCTTCTTCTTTCAGCGACCTCAAAAACGGACTTTCTTTTGCGGCGAACTGGTCGTGGTTTCTCGTTCGGCATCGCAACAAACTTTGTGCGAACTGAGAAGAACCTACAGTTTAAAAAAGCCTCTAAGAACCGCTGCATAAACCACATAATCCCAGCACGCCGGCGAGTCAGTTACACTAGAAACGATTGACAACCTAACAGCCAATAGAAAATGAGGCAGCCTCGTTTTCTATTGGCTGATGTTTATTTGGCCTCACTACATCCACAGTTGATAGATTTTGATTCTTTTTTGTTTGTTCATCATAATTACAAAGCTGCTGTGTATCTGTAATGATATTTTAAACTTTCATTGACAATTTGAAACAAAAAAAAAATTCCTCCATACAACCTTTAAGACGGTAACTTTTCTGGCGAGGGTCCGCAATCAGTTTGTCTCCTTGGAGGGGCAGCAGTAGCTCAGTTGTTACAGAGTTTGTCCACTGATCCGAAGGGTGACAGTTCGAATCACATAAAAACATAATTGGTTGAGTGATCAGATCCACTGACCTACAGGTTGGCGGTGTGATTCTAGCTCCCACAGATGTATGCTGCAAGACACTTAACCCACCTCGCCTCTCTCGCGTGTGAATAGGTGAGTGGGTGACTTGTTATAAATCTCTTGAAAGTGGAAAAGCGCTGTATGAAAATGTGACCATGACCATCTACCACGTTAATGCTTTGGTTTAAATTGTCCACAGTATGGCATTAAACTAATCTGTCTTGCATTTATTCAACTAAAGCTGAAGTTTATTGCTCAAAAATATCCTTAAAACATTAATTCTTACCGTGACTTAACCTGCTATTTGGTTTGCAAGTCTCCATGGAGATTCATACGTTTATGGCCATACTGTGGAACATTCTAGTTACACAGTGCACCTTTAATCTGGGTTTAATTTTAACGTAATCTGACAAAAAGAAGGTCAGTGAATTGGTTCAAACTGCAACAGGGGAGATGATTTGACTTGTGAGCTCAAACAAGTCTCATTACATTACAGTAACATCTAGAAAGCATTAGCCAACAGTTTCTCAGTTTGTTACTTTCACATTTTTTGTTAAAAATCAAACACATGAACAGGACCACAAACGCTCGCATTGATCACAGGTTATTTAAATCCATTCAATATTTTTTTCTCGAGTTTTTAGACTGTCTTTACACGTTTCTGTCTCTGTTTCCTACTGTACGCATTTTGTCACCCTGGTAACTGCTGAATATTCCACCAATAGAAATACATGAAAAAAAACCCACCCCAGCATGATGTCACTGCAAAATATCCATTAAATTATTTATAGATTGCTGTATGAATTTGAAACTTCTTCTGTAGTTTACTCACATAAATGTAAGAAAATGTTCAACTCCCATAAAGTTACACAGACTTCCCTCTGCCCTCCATGTAAAATTATGTGATAATCCAATTCCACTAAATTAACCTGAAGTCACAATATCTCTAAACTTATTTCTTGTGAGCTTTAAGCCATGTTAGAATGTCGTTACCTCATCAAAAACATGGCTGCAGTTGTGTTTTTTTTTCATTCACACTCACATTTGAATAATCCTGTATTATTATCCTATAATCCAGGACACGGTGGAGGGACTATGTCTCTGGGCTGGCCTGGGAACGCCTTGGGGTCCCCCTGGAGGAGCTGGAGGAAGTGTCTGGGTTGAAGAAAGTCTGGGAGTCCTTGCTTAGACTGCTGCTCCTGTGACCCGGCCCCAGATAAGCGGAAGAAGATGGATGGATGGACGGTATTATCCTTTATTATTAGTCTGTCTACATCTCCAAATCTCAAATTGCTCTGTTCAGCTTTGTGATGTTTTGTAGTGGTAGATTAAATTTACAGCTACCTTCTACCTTTAGTTCAGTCGTGATTGGCAATTCCGGTTCTGAAATTACTCAAAATGATTTCAAATTGATATCTCTAAACGTAAGATTTTTTTCCTATTCACCTGCAGAGTCTCGCCTTAATTTATTTGATTTAATGTGTGTTTATATTTAGCGTACACGGTGATCCTCTTTATCAAGGTCAAACCAAACCGACCTAACCAACCAGAGGAAACGTGGTGTACAATTTCTCCCACCACAAGAGTTTCCTCAGTACAAAACCATGACAACCACCACCGACCAATCGGAGCTGAGGTAGGAAAAGCCGAGCGTTTAAAAGCCTACAGGGATCAGGAAGTGTAAGCAAGGTTAAAAAGCTACGAAATGATTAATGGCTTATAAGGGAAGGAAGCCAAAAACAAAACTATGACAGAACATTTAACCAGATAAAGACTTGGAAAGGAACAGTGCGTAATAGAGAAAGGACGATACTAACTTGGAGTCCTCACGCGCGCAGACTTTAAGCGTTAACCTTGAGGCTAAATTGACACTTAAGCTCGGCGAAGATGCGAAGAAAAACCTGCTTGCCTTTGCCATAGCTGTAGCTCTGCCTGCTTGATGGTCACAGTGATGGGGATAACTTGAGGCTTGTTAAAAGAATCATTGCACGCACGCACCGCTGACTTCTTTTTATCGCCCGGCTCCCGATTTGAGAATGGTGTGTGCGACCTCGACTTGAAATTATGCCCAAACTCACCTCTGAGCTTCGCCCGAGGTGTACAACAGCAGAGGTGAGAGAAAAGTTAAGAAGAAAATACAAGCTTAAAGGTCCCGCATTAAGCAAAATTTACCCTTGTGAGGTTTGAGCCATGTTATAATGGTGTTACCTCATCCAAAACAGACCTGGAGTTGTGTTTTGTTTCATCTACGCATGTTTAAGTAATCCTTTTTTTATTAGTCTGTTTACATCTCCAAAGCTCAAAGTGCTCAGTTTCGCATTTTGATGATCTGAATCGCTATTTTTCACATTTTGAACTACATTTTACTTTTTATTCAGCAGAGATCGGCAACTACAGGCTTGAAAAAGTTATCCAAATGATTCTAGTGACTGTGTATGGACTCTAAAAACACAGTGGGGCACTTCCTGTATTACCACATGACATCACAAGGTGGAACAGAGTGTGTTCTGTTTGAGAGAATAACCTAAATATGCAGGATTTGTGTGTTAAACATGTGCGACTGAAACAAAACACAACAGGAAACAACATTATATCACAGATCAGGAAATAGTGTAAAATGGGCCTTTTAAAGATGCACAACATAACTTTTTTGTTGGTCTCCATGGAGATGTTATTGAATTACAAGGAGCATTCAACAGTCTAGCATTGACCCTGTCTATTTCACATTTAATTAATAAAATTTTTTATTGCTAAAAATTAGGGATGTAACAATAACCGAAATATTGTGATATCGTATCGTCAAAAGTCTCACAATAATATCGTGGGCTGTCACAATAATCTTAAATTATAAGACTTTTTGCTTAAATACATGGTTTTATAGTTGCAACAGTTTATAAACATAGAGAGAGAACTACATATCCCATGATGCATTTCAGAGCAGATAACATGAAGAAACATGGTTTTACTTGAATTTTTGGGATTATGACGTAAATAATTCACACCAAAATCCTGTCAAGGTATTTTAAAAGCAAAAAAGTTTCATCAAAGTATCGCAATAAATATCGTCCAGTGAGATGTATATCGTGATAATATCGTACCAAGAGATTTTGAGATCGTTACATCCCTACTAAAAATATTGTGAGAATTACATACATTCTGACAGTGAGTCATTTTGCTTCTCCACAGATCTGACCTGTAACTTGGCTTGGTGACCGTACCTGCTTGACAAATATGCTTAATGCCATGCTGTGGAACATTCTAGGCAAAATAAATATAGCTTCATAGAGACCAGTAGATTATGAACTGTTTGATACACAAATAAAACAATCTGAGGTGCATATTGTAACTTCTGTCAAATTCTTTTCCTTCACAGAGATGTGATTGCTTTGTCTGGAATGTTCCACAATATGGCATTAAATCTTTCTATCTTCATGGAGACCAAACCAGACCGAGTTACAGGTTAGATCTGTGTAGAGGCGACCCCGCTCACAGTCAGAATGTGTTTTTCTGGGTATTTTTGATCAATAAAACCACCTGTACTTGAATAAATGTAAGGTAAAGCTCTTTAAAGTCATACTGTGGAACATTCACCCCCAACCGAGAAGTCACACAGTGCACCTTGATGTGTTTTTATCTCCTCTGGTAAGAAAAACAAAAACCAGAAACCAGAATCACTATGACGACGCACCTCTCTTTGATCCCTCTTTAACAGAACAGAATTTCAATTTCACTTAAAAAAAAACCCCAAAAAACAAAAAGAAAGAAAGAAAAACACCTACCCCAACTTCAACATGATCTGATCCTTTGTCATCTTGCTTGTGCAGAATTTCAAAGTAGTACCGTCTTGAAGAAATCAGGCTGATGAGAGAGAGAAAAGAAGAACATCTGATTACACATTTGCAGTTATAAAACACTTTATTGTAGCGCAGAGCAGCTCCAGGCGAGATGCTTAATAAACCCCTATGTACTGAGCTAAACTACTTGAGCTTCTATGAAAACATACATCAATTGGCAATCTGTAAGGGTTAAGAGCACCCGGGCGTAATTTGGAGCTGTAGCTAAATGGCATAGAGCAGCCAGCCATACCAGATATTGAAAATGCCCGAGGCGGTAAAAAAGATGCTCTTTCTGACGCAGCGGATAAATCAATATTTCACATTTTACTCCCAGTATTTCCACGCAAGAGCAGGTTAAAGGTCCTATATTACGCAGATGTGATTCTTGTGAGTTTTAAGCCACCTTATAATGTTGTTACCTCGTCAAAAACAGACCTGGAGTCGTGTTTTGTTTCATTCGCACAAGTTTGAGTAGCACTTTATTATTGATCTGTCTACATCATTTCCCAAAGACTGAGTCATGACCTTCAGGTGGAGATTTTTTTTGGGTCCCTTGTCACGATCTGCATTTCACTTTTTTGGCAGCACCACCTTCCTAACCAATTTTCTGTGGGACACACTGACACTGATTACTGTTTTTCATTAAAACTTGAGTAATACTAATTGCTCAGAGAGACACGATCACTCAGTCAACAATAAAATATCCTCATTAATGTTCAATAATGGTTACAAATGTGTTTTCTGATTTACGAATAATGTCTATTGACTTGAGTCGCGAAGATTTGTGAGTTTTAAAATATGGGTCCCCAGAAAAAAAGTTTGGGAAACACTGGTCTACATCTCCAAAGCTCACAATGCTCTGTTCCACCTTGTGATGTCATGTAAATGGTCACATTTTTATAAAGCGCTTTTCCACCTTCAAGACACTCAAAGCTCTCAAGAAACCATTCATTCACACACATATTCACACACCAGTGTACGCAGACACTAGGGGCAAGGTGGGTTAAGTGTCTTGCCCAAGGACACAATGACAGCATTCATCTGTGGGAGCTGGAATCACTCCGCCAACCTGTGGATCAGTGGATCTAAGCGCTCAACCAATTATGTTTTTTTATGTTGAGAGCGGGATTCGAACCGTCAACCTTGTGATTAGTGGACAGATGGTCTTACCAACAGCTACCTTTTTTTAATCTTCAGTAGATATTTAATAACCCTTTAATGCCTGAATTTATATAAATGTATATAAAAATGTTAAGTGTGTGTTTTTACCTTTAAGTTGATGTAAATTAAGTTGAGATTATAAAGTTGACTATAGGAAAAAATAAATAAATTGAAATTTGGGTATGTTGCAAATTTGGGATAACTAGAAACAAATGCTTGCCAAAGGTTCCTAGGAAGGTCCTGCATATGCACTAATGGCCTTGGGGGGAATGCAACCACTATCCTGGCTTATATCTTGAGCCAAACGGTTTGTCTCATATTTGTAACAGTCGGCGTTAAGGGGTTAAGGCAATTCCAGGGCTGAAATGATCCAAATTATTCTAGTGAAGGTGTATGACGTTTAAAAACACAGTGGAGCACTTTCTGTATTACCACGACATCGCAAGGTGGACCAGAGCATTTTGAGCTTTGAAGATGTAGACAGTATACATGCATCCCGAATTTCAGACTTCCGGTCATCGCGCAATGCATACTGGGAAGGATCCTCCGAAAAAGTGAGCCTCAAATCGCCATGTTTGATTTCCCAGTGGGATGAGTCTATTGTCAAAGCCGATCTTTTCAAGTCTTTTGCACCATATTGTTTTTGTTTCTGGTTCTGATATTATAATTTTTTAGCTATGGGATTCGGGCATCATAATTGTTGTGGTTGTTGGATGTCCTAACAGCAGAAAACGAATCGAGAAATAGGTTTCAGAAGTTTGCGAACTCCATAAATGCAAAAGGGAATCAGATCTGTGTGACTGCAAACCTCCGTTCAAACTGTTTCTCTTCCCAACAGAATAAAAAAATTGTGAAATGTGAAGGTGATGGGCAGTATTGAAACACAAGGATGACGTAAAAAGTAACCTTTGGCTGCCTAAGAAATCATCCCGAGTTTGCGGCGACCATTTTGTATGTGGAGCGCCGCTGTTGGACATCCAACAATCACACAATTACGATGTCCAGATCCCATAACTAAAATATGACAATATCAAATCCAGAAACAAAAGCGATACGGTTCAAAAGATTTGAAAAGATCGGCTTTGACAATAGACACATCCCACTGGGAAATCAAACATGGCGGTTTGATGCTCACATTTTCAGAGGATCCTTCCCGGTATGCATTGTGCGATGTCCGGAAGTCCGAACTTCGGGATGCGTGTATAATAAAGGGTTACTCAAACATGTGTGAATGAAACAAAACTTCAGATATGTTTCTGAGGATATAAACGTATTGTAACAGGAATTCAATTTGCGAATGTGTTTTGTTTTTCAAAGAAGAACTTGGTCTATATATGCAGGATTTGTGTGTTGAACATGTGTGAATGAAACAAAACACAACTCCAGGTTTGTTTTTGACAAAGAAACAACATAATAACATCACAAAATAGTGTTATATCATCCCTTAAATCTAGTAAAAGCACCCAAAGAGGTTTTACAGTTTGGGTGACTGATCAGTGCCCTCCACGTTTTAATGACACAGTGTTGTTTAATGTGGATAATAGACCAGACATCTGCTGCTTGGTGAGAAACAAAACAACAAAGCTGGTCTTCACGCACAATTAGGTCCATGCAAACATAAAAATCATACATGAACAGACGCCTGGTGACGGGAAACACATGGTTTTAACTAACTCAATTTGGAACTGAAAATCTTACATATATTTAATGGGAAAGTTACTGTCAATATTTCTTTTTTTCCTCTTTTTTTTCATCACAACATCACAAACAAGAATCTATTTTTTGATGCTTTGCAGCTGATGGCTCTGTTACTCAAGTTAGACTTTAATCTGAGCTTTGTTTTAACACAGTCTGACCAGAAAGAAGCAATTTAGCTGAAACTACAACAGATGAGCTGATTTGTGCTGTTAAACAAGTCACTCTCAAGTAATATTACAAACACAAGCTAGTAATTATAACAATTTATAAATAACTTTTTTTTTAGTTAGTCACTCTCTCCTTTTTGCTGAAAATCAAACACCTAAACAGGAACACGAATGAATGCATTGATCACAGGCTCCTGAAAATGTGCTGTATAAATCCATTTTGTATTATTTCTGGATTTTCAGACTATTTCAAAAGTGTGACATTACTGCAAAGTACCAATTAAAAGTAGTAAAGGTTTGTTTTTAGGTGTAATTGTTTGCTACATGAAGCCACTTAGTGTGACCCCGCTCATACTACGAATGTATGTAAAAACACCTGTAAATCCATAAATGCAAGATAAATATGCTTTAATGCACAATGTGGAATATTCCAGGCAAAGTTGGAACCATAGAAACAATCAGGTGGCAGACCCCCCCCACCAGAAACATTACATAGTACACCTTTAGCCATTATGCCATCAGATAATAATGTACTGTATTTTTTGGACTATAAGTTGCACTTTTTTCATGGTTTGGGTGTTTCCTGCGACTTATATATTAAAATGTTCACACTGACAGCCTTGAGAGGGCGCTCTAGGTTTGTGTGTCAGTATCTGCTACTACTTATTACTCCTGTACCACTGTCACTTGACTCTACTGTGCATGTCTCCTGCAGAAAGAGCCGCTGTCCTGTCTTTCTGTAGTTATTACTAGAACTTGCTTTTCAAGATGAAATGTTTGTTCTTGGTCTCTGACTTTATCAAATAAAAAGTGTGACTTATATATGTATTTTTCCTCTTCATTGCACATTTTTTAGCTGGTGCAACTCAGACTCCAGAGCGACTTATAGTCCAAAAAATTCGGTATGCAAATAATAATGTCTAAATGACCAAATGACTTATCTGTAAAACCACCTGTAATTGAATAAATGTAAGGTAGATCTGTTTAATGTCATACTGTGGAACATTCAAAGCTGAGCAATGACATATCCATAGAAACAAGAGTGACGGTGATGGACCCCCGACCAAAAAGTTACACAGTGCACCTTTAAGTGTTTTTCATAGCCTAATAATAATGTCTAAATGACCAAATGACTTCTCTGTGTGTTTTCTGTTCAAGATTTTAAACCAATCTTTCTTCTTCTTCCATCGCGTTCATAAGTTCGTGCATATTCGAGTAAATAATTGAGTTCTGTGGGATTAACATACGTCCAACAGTCAATTAAAAATATATACCATGAATAAAACACAGGAAATTATGAATCAAGATGACTGTCTGATATGAGTCCAATTCAGCACTGCTTCACTTACTGGAATTTATATGCACTTTTATGGTATTATATTGGGACCATTTCATATTTGACAAGACTTTTCAATGAGAGTCTTTGCTTTTATCTTTGATTAAAGCAACACTATGCAGCATTTACCACAGACCACAAAGTAGGACAAATATCAAAGGGTTTTATGAGGTAACCTTGGCAAAAAATGTATTGATAGTTTGGAGTATCATCACGCTGGGGGTGTTCTGAATGCATGTGTATGGCAGAATGTTCAGAAGCTACCACGGTGATAAAATGCACACATTAGTAAACACAGGCAAAGAAAATTCAAGTCTGAAAAAAAAACAAAAAAACAAAAATGGTGTTTTATTTTTAGCAAGGATGCGCTCACATAAGGATTGTCCCCAAGGATGGATCGTCCCTACAGCGCAGCACATCTGTCTGGTGTGAGCGCAATCGAACAGTGCCCAGGCGCAGCACAGGTGGGACTTTGGCCCAGTTGGAGGAGGTGGGCCAAAGCACGACACAGTTGCTCATGTATGTGCACACGTGTGACTTTACGAGACCCGTCAGGTGCACTAATGCCACTTATACGATAAAAACTGTGAATATAGTCTGCCATATAAGAACACTGTAAAAGAAATATCCACATTATGGATTGGCACGGGGCTCGAGTCA